TTTTTTCAATATTAAAATTTAGAACATTCTTAGTTTTAAAACTAAAAGAAAAAAAAAATTAATGTTCCATATAATTGTTTCTGGGATGTTGGGCATTTATGAGATTCGAACCCTCTTTTTAATAGTAAATTTTCTTAATTTACTTAACTCACAATATTTATTTACTTATAAAATATATGGAGTTGGTTGAGTTAATTAGGAGAAAAATTTTATACTAACAATATTTATTTACTTATAAATATTTATTTGTTTTTTAGTTATACAAAATTAACAATTTTTCAGTTTACGAAATTGTCTAGTAAAACTAAGAAATTTATTAGTTTTTGAGAAAATTCAGTTTTTTTTCCAATATTAAAATTTAGATCATTCTTAGTTTTAAAACTAAAAGAAAAAAAAAATTAATGTTCCATATAATTGTTTCATCAACTAAAGTTTTTTATAGTAACAATATTTATTTATTTATTAACAATATTTATTTACTTATAACTTAAAATTGATACATAATCACAAATCAACATCTAGGGGATTTCTATATTTTTCATATTTATTTACTAACAATATTTATTTACTTATAAAAAAAATTATACTCAATATTGATCTTATTTGATAGATCTCACTGTGTATACTCTAAAAATATAATTTTTATTAAAAACAAATATTTATAATAAAAATTATGAAAATTTTAAATTTTAAAACAATAAAATAAAAGTAAATGTCATATTAGCCGTACCGATTTCAACTTGTAGAAATTATCTAGTGCTTTTGTGCATAATTAGGTGGTTACTAGACAAATATGTGAAATTTCACACGAAATTATAAATTCAAAAATTTTTTAAATTTCAATTCAAAAATTAAGTAAAATATGCATACATTTATAATAAATAAATAAAAAATGTGAAATTTCAAAAGTGAACTTTTCGTACTATCAAATCCAAAAAAGTGAAGTTTTATATATTTCTCATTTTATATAATGTAATATTCAATTGAGATATTATTTGATAGATCTCATTGAGTACTTTTTAAAAATATAAATTTTAAGAAATTATACCAGTAATTTTTATGTTTTATCTCTTATGTTATTTTGATCTTTACATTTTCAAGTGGCTCAATTTTGACCTTTAATTTTAGATTTTGTATCAATTTGGCATAATTGATAATACCGTTAATTTTTTTGACAAAAAATTGTCACTGAATTGATTGAGGTTAACTCAATGAGTTGAACAAACTTATGATTTTGCCCTTAAAATCATAAGTAAACTACCAAAATGTTATAACGGTTGCACTTAATTCCCATTAAGTCATATTGAAAGTTAGTTCTACTAAAATTGTCGTTAAAAAAAAAAAACAACAATGATTCATCCCACTAAAAACATCACCACTAATAGCACTAATGCATTAAAAAAGTAAAAAAAAAAAAAATACAACTCCAAAACCAAAACATCACATCATTAATGACGGGACCCACTGCCACCTAATTAGTGGGAGCACTAAGTAGTGCTCCCAAGCATTTTTCACAAAAAAATTATCACACTTTTTTTGCATGTCACTAAAAATTGACAATTAGTGACTTTTTTTGTCACGATTATTAAAATTGTTGCTACCCCATTTGATGGGACTTAAGGCTTATTTTGGTATTAAAATTGTTGCTAAAACTTACAATTAATGACTTTTTATGTGACGAATTTTTTTAAATTATCGTTGAAAGTTGTAAATTAGTGACTTTTTTGTGATGATTATTTTAAACAATCACTAAAACTTATAATTAGTGACGTTTTTTGTGATAAAATTTTCAAACTGTCATTAAAAATTAACAATTAGTGATATTTTTTAATAGTATTTGATGAAAAATACTGTTAATTATCACATAACCTATTAAACAATAAATTCACCTATTAAACCTGAAGTCCCCTTATATATATGATATATGTTATATCGGGCTGTAATTTTTTCCATGCAAGGAAATCACAACAAAAGTTAAACTTCTACATTTTGATAAATAAATCTAAAAATATGAATTTTAACATTTCTCATTTTTCTGCGTCATCACAAGTTAAACAAATAAATTTTGTACTAAAAAATGTCTCAGATCTCTAAACTAAGAGTTCTAATAACTCTAATGTAGAGGTAGGTTCCACATGATGGGATGTTTTGACATTCTATTTTTTTTTTAAATCAGCTCATTAAACTGATTTAGTACTCCAAATTTAGAACTACCAATCACTTCTCTTTTGTACTTGATCATCCAGGCTTTTTCATCTTAAAGATATTTTGGAAAAATAATTAAAAATTATTTTTTAATTTTTTAAACTTTTTTATAAAAACAAAAAAAAAAATTAAAAATTAAAAAATAATTCTTAACGTACTTCTCAAAATAAGTCTTAATGCACTTAAAAGGTCAGTTTCGAGATATCAATTTCGAAAAGGAAAAATGATAAAATGCATCCCATATCTGACCATGTCTGGTCTAATCTTTCGGATAGAAGCATCTAAGACTTTAGTACTTTCAAAACTTTACTCATGACCGTACATTGATGGGCGCAAATTGCAAACATCACAAGAAGCCAATTAATCAAATGAAAAGTCGTTCCACACGTTTGGGAGCCATCCACACGTTTGGGAGCCATCCCATGGTGGTTCCTTAATTCATTATTTTAACAAACTTTCAAACAAAAGTATTCCATTTTACTATTGTTTTCAATTTTCGATGCTATATATGTACATTACACTATAAAAATTTCAATTTTTTATGACGGCACGGTGCCGTCGCTAATACTCTTAATGCCGTCTCAAAAGAATTTTAACGATGGAAAATAATTTTTAGCGACAGTAAATGGGAGGTCACAACAGAAGGCGTTGCAAAAACCTTTTAGCGACGACATCATGGCGTCGCCTTTTTTTAGCAACAGCAATTGTTACCTTTTGCGACGGCAATTTACTATTGCATATAATATGTAAAAAAGTTAGACCTTTTGCGACAACACCGTCTTATCGTCACTAAAAGTTTTATTTGAAACGGTAAAAACTGCTATCGCGATATTTTTTTTTTTTTCAATGGCATGCCCACTATCGCCAATGGTTTTAATATTTTTTGCAACGGTATGGTGCCGTCACCAAAAAAAAAAAAAAAAAAGGAAGAAGAAACCTATAATAAAATTATTAAAAATATTAAAATTACCTGTATTAAATGAAAAAACAATTGAAAAAGAAACCAATAATTACATAGTAATATAAAAATTCTTATATGGAAAAAATATTTTTGCATTCATAACTACACATCAACAAAATCACCACCACTACATAATGTTCTATAATACATATATAATGTTTAAATACATAATGTTGTTCATAATTCAAAATAACATAAACCAAAATTACAAGTTTTGCTTATCATTCTCTGTGGGTAACAAAAACAAAAATTAGTCGCATTCTTCACAGACATGCATTCCACAAGAAGCAAACTCCTACTCGAAAAATATCTGAAAATAAAAAATAAATATAATTAATGACAATATAATTATGTTTTAATAGATTAATTACAAAAAAATATAAAAATTTAACTACTATACAATTACAAAGATAATTAAGTAAATAATTTTGCCTAGACCGAAATCCGGCTCTAACTCCCAAATCGGGAACCCGATTCGAGTCCCGTCTTCTCCCACAAGTCTCTCGTGCCAAGGCGGTCGTGTGTGCCAAGTTTCATGCTACATCGACGCCGTTTGGTGATTTTGGAGGGTTAACACCTCAAATTCTAAATTTCTTAAGAAACTAGTTTGTCTAGAGTAAAATCCGACCATAACTCCCAAATCAGGAATCCGATTCGAGTCTCGTCTTCTCTCACAAGTCTCTCGTGCCTCGGCGGTCGTGTGTGCCAAGTTTTGTGCTACTCCTATGTCGTTTGGTGATTTTGGGGGTTTAACACCTCGAATTCTAAGTTTCTTAAGAAACTAGTTTGCCTATAGTGAAATCTGGCTCTAACTCCCAAACTAGGAACCCGATATGAATCCCGTCTTCTCTCACAAGTCTCTCATGCCTAGGCGATCGTGTGTGCCAAGTTTCGTGATACTCCGATGCCGTTTGGGGATTTTGGGGCATTAACACCTCAAATTCCAAGTTTCTTAAGAAACTATAGTTTGTTTCTTAAGAGTGAAATCCGGCTCTAACTCCCAAACCAGAAGCCTGATTTGAGTCCCGTCTTCTTCCACAAGTCTCTTATGCCTAGGCGGTCATGTGTGCCAGGTTTCGTGCTACTCCGACGTCATTTGGTAATATTGGGGCATTAACACCTCAAAGTCTAAGTTTCTTAAGAAACTAGTTTGTTTCTTAAGAGTGAAATCCGGCTCTAACTCCCAAACCGGGAATCCGATTCGAGTCTTGTCTTCTCCTACAAGTCTCTCGTGCCTAGACGGTCGTGTATGCCAAATTTTGTGCTACTCCGACGCCATTTGATGATTTTGGGGCATTAACACCTCAAATTCTAAGTTTTTTAAAAAACTAGCACTACTACAAAAAACAGATAAAGATCACACTTTTTTTGTGTAATGTATGTTATTTAATCACACCTTTTAAGTTTTATTAAAGTGTGATCTTTGAGAGTGTGATTGAAAGTGGTCATTTTTAATCATACCTTTTAAGTGTGCTTAATAACATTTAGATCACATCTTATAAGTGTGATTAATAACATTTAGATCATACCTTTTAAGTGTGATTAAAAACATTTAGATCACATCTTTTAAGTGTGCTTTATAACATTTAGATCACACCTTATAAGTGTGATTAATAACATTTAGATCACATCTTTTAAATGTGATTAATAACATTTAGATCACATTTTTTAAGTGTGATTAATAACTAATAAAACTTGTGATAATAAACATTTAGATCACAAATTTTAAGTGTGATTAATATCTACTTTACTGCAGGCAGCCAACTATATATCTGGGTCCACTGCTTGCTGTAACAATCACTAAATTACCCACAAGCAATCAATCAATACCACGTTTAAGTTCAAACCATCATAGAAAAGTTTACTAAGAAAAAGTAAGTTTAAGTTCATTACAATAAATTAATCGACCAGTTTAATAACTAAGAGCACAATATGAATTATTCCATTTACAAGCAGCCCATAATAGACTAGAGCTCGTATTTTTTTTGCATGACATGTATCAAGACTTCGGATTCTAAACTGAGCTAAAATGATTTCACAAACAATTTCCAGAACCCCCCCTCCCCCCAAAAAAATGGAAATAAAGAACAAAAGAAATGAGTAATTACATCGCTCATTGTCAAGAGGCCTGAGAATTTCTCCGATTATCTGCCCAATGCTCTGAAGCAACTTCAAATCGTCTTCTATCTTATTGAACTCTTTCTTGGAAGCTCGCAAGCTCTCTCTCACTGCCTGCTAAATGTAATTAGAAAATTGTATATGCGCCTAAGTGTGAAAACATAATTTTATTCAAGTATTCAAAGGACATCTACAACCCTTGATTCAAACTTATATCGAATTTAAAAAGCAAAATGTAGGGATTAGATTTGTTAAATCTCTTTGTATGTATTTAATATACATATAGTAAGACTAAAACACCAAAATATTACACTTAATTAGATGCAAATTAGTCATGGACACGGCTCCTCGAACAGAGATGTACCTGTGGGGAGAACATCTCTTTGTATGTATTTAAGAAATCGAGTAAGTATACCTTTTCCCCTGTGACGAGCAGCACGCTTCCGTGGGAGAAATCCAAGGGACCTATGCAGGGGATGCTCAAACTTCCTGTGTGGCATCTTCTCTTCCTTCACAAATAAATGGTTAACGTTATTATTCAAAAAAATTAACATTGAAAGTCCTTGCAATCTACTATTTTGTAATCCTTGCTCTAAATTAAGTGTCCAAAACTTCCAATCAAACATAAGCATAATCAACTAGGAACATGGAGATATTATTGCACATACAAGAATCATCCGAAGCATTTCTGATATTGATTATGTACACACATGTATAAACTTGCTATGAAATATAACTCGAAAGAGATCATACAAATCAAGACATTCTCCTATGTGATTTTTCATTGAAAACTTGAAATCCATATGTTATATGAGTTCTACTGAAATGAGAATGTGACTTGGAATTTAGAGACATGTATTTGCATAGAAATGTTACAGATAACATTAAAAACCAAAATTTTAGTTTTGGAATTGATGAATGTATACGGATCTGTCTGGTTTCAAACGAATCAGCACCGCATCATTATCAAATCAATCATCTGTTTAAACACACAACAATCAAAAATCAATTTAAAATTTCAGCAAACATTAGAAAGCATGTACATGGAAACTACTCAACAAAGATCATACAAATCAAGACATTCTCCTATGTGATTTTTCATTGAAAACTTGAAATCCATATGTTATATGAGTTCTACTGAAATGAGAATGTGACTTGGAATTTAGAGACATGTATTTGCATAGAAATGTTACAGATAACATTAAAAACCAAAATTTTAGTTTTGGAATTGATGAATGTATACGGATCTTTCTGGTTTCAAACGAATCAGCACCGCATCATTATCAAATGAATCATCTGTTTAAACACACAACAATCAAAAATCAGTTTAAAATTCTAGCAAACATTAGAAAGCATGTACATGGAAACTACTCAATGACATTAGATATTAACTTAAACAACCATTAAAATTCTGTGATATTGTGGATCTTTTGTAAACTTGTGGATTTGTTCCCATATCAGGTGCTGGAACATCAATGTGCACTCCAATAAGATTGTGTATCTTCTGGGTGAAAACTTTGGTGAGTCATTCTAGCTCAGACATGCTTAATTCCCCTGGATTGCATCCTATCTCTCCTTTAGCGCCACTGTATGGTATATTGGCCACTGCAGTCTTCCATGTCATTAGTTGTGCTAAAGCAGAGTATAATTCTTATACTTTTTGTTACAAAACTAGATAGATATATCAGCGCATACCTATTATAGAAGCACAATACATATCTGCATAAGATTCGTGTCCCGTGAGCAATTCCCACGTGACAATCCCAAATGAGTAAAAATCAATCTACAATGCAAAAAAAAAGAAAAGAAAAAGAAATAATAAAAATAATAATATACACAAAAGAAACTAAAAGAAGAAATTAAAAATCTCTTAGAGAGAGAATGAAGTACAATTATGTAAACTAAATATTTCTAAAGTTTATGCTCAGAATAATCTTACCTTTTCCGTAACCATTTTACTCTTTCCACTAAAAAGTTCAGGTGCCATCCAAGGTAAGGTTCCACGAACACCCCCGGACACTGAAGTGTGTTGTTTTACCTTTGATAAGCCAAGGTCACCAATCTAAAAAGAAATGCAGACAATGGATAAGCGATCACATTTTGTAATAGAAGCACCATGTAACAAGAGTTAAACATGAACATGTATCAAGTTATCTAACATGAACATGTATAATGAGATGAAGATGAACTTATCCAAAAATGAGATGGTGATAATAAACAAATGCAGGCTAGGTACATGATATAAATGTACTAATCATGTGAATGAGATAGTGAATAGAAACCTGTAATCCCCTAGACAAAAGACAAAAGATTCAAGAGTCTGACAACAAAGAGCCAACAATTCATATTTTTTAATATCTAATGTAAAACTAGAATTTCCTATAAACAACCTATCTAACCTTAAGAAAAACATCAATCTTCATATTGTGCATGTGTATTAACTCTATGAACACTAAAGAAAACCAAAATCTGTGTTTTTGATCCACAAAAGTGTTTGAAAGTTTTCAAAATTAACCCGTATAAGCATCACAAGAACTTATTTTACAGATAAAGACTGCAATGATTAGATGAGGAAATTCATTACCAAGTCCTGTTTTTGAAACCCATAATCAACTCATGTTCCTGTATTTAGAAGAAGAATAAAAAAATGAATTCTTGACATTTAAAAAAGAGATAAACGAGAAACATAACACCAAAAATACTCAATATCTAATGTAAAATACTCATTGTTTTTGACATTTAAATGAATTTTTTCAATACTCAGTATCTAATGTAAATCTTGAGTAATGCAGCAAACAGTAAAGAAATTTAATAAAATGGAAGCCAAGAATAGATCCCATTTACACAGTGCACATACCACAACAGAAAAATATTTATTTATTTTCTTGAATAAAGAGAGCACAATCTTTCCAAAGAGAAGCAAAGTTCCATTTTCACATAGGGCATACAAAACATAACATCAATTAGCCACTTAATGAGGCAACAACAGACTCTCAGTTGTTAACTAATATCAGAACCCTAAAAGAATTGATTCATTTTGTTGGTAAACTTAAGATTCAATTGGAAGTATTACACATCTCAATTCATAAAAACTACTGGCATTACTAGATGGATCTGAATTCCCCTCAAACAAAAACAAGCATCCTTCATGATTATAGCAAAGAAGTATTACACATCCCAATTTGATTTATACTATTAACAAATCTGATATTTAAGCTTGCAATTGGAGTCAATTTTATGTAAATATTAGAGACCAAATGAAAATTATGAAAATAGATTCTTAGCTGATTTTGAATCTAAATACATTAACATGAAAAAAATTATAGAAAATTCTCAAATATAACCAAAATTTGGCACTTAAATCCCGATCAACCATCAATGTCTTTGTCTGCCCAATTGAACCTGGGTTTGAGTATAGATCAATATAGTAAAGTTGTAAATGTTAGTAAATCATTGATACCAGAGATGTTCTTTAGATGATAATAGTTGGAAGTTATAAAATCAAAAAGATCAAAGTGAATGAGATTCTATTAAAAAGAGAGTAAACCAAAAATAGGAAGTGAAAAGATTAAAAAGAGCAAAATTCAACTGAAGAGAGGCCAAATCAAAGATCTATTGGAGAGAGAGAGAGAGAGAGAGAGAGAGAGAGAGAGAGAGAGAGAGCCTAGGGGGTGGTAGCGATGGGAGAACCAGACCTGAGGAGCTTCAACAGGTAGAGCGCATCCAACGCCATCGCGTTCGGGCTTTTCTTGGAATAGAAAAGCCTATCATTCATTAGGTGGTTTTCTCTTGCTCCGACTCAATCGGTCTCGGTCTTGGTCCCAGTCCCTGTCTCGATCCCGATGATCTTGATCCTTCTTCACTCCTCGGTCTCGTAACCCCGCCGATTTGTGTAACTTAACCGAACCATCTTCCTCTACAAAATCACCAGAATCAAAATCAAGAAAAACAAAAAAAAAAATCAAGAAATTTCAACCAAATTGATGCAAGAATTGATGGATTTAGAATTAGATCTGAACAAGTGATCGGAAATCAACCTTGGTGAATCTCTCAAGGAGCAAGAGGAGACAGAGAGAAAACCCTAAATCTAGGACAGAGAGAAAAAACGATAGAGAGAATAGGCAAATTTCACTTTAGTAAAAAACGTGGTAATAGGCAAATTTTATTGTAGTGGAATTTGGGAATTGTATATTTTATATAAAAATCAAATTAAAATATTTTATACAATCACACCTATTTAGGGAGTGTAATTATATAATTACACTTATTTAAAAGTGTGATTAAAAAATATATAAATAATGACACTTATTTAAAAAGTGTGATTAAAAAATAGTAGTGTATATATAATCACACTTTTAATTAAAAGGTGTGATTAAAAAATATATAAATAATCACACTTTAACTAGAACGTGTGATTAAAAATATATATATATATATAATCACACTAATTTAAAAAGTGTGATTAAAAAGTAGTAGTGTATATATAATCACACTTTAATTAGAAGGTGTGATTAAAATATATATATATATATAATCACACTTATTTAAAAAGTGACATAAAAAATATATATTATCATACTCAATCAAATTAAGTGTGATTAAAATATCAATATAATTTTTTTTTATCACACTTCCAATAAAAGTGAGATTTTTTATTTATTTATTTATTTTTTTTTATCAAATGTGATTTTTATCTAATTTTGTAGTAGTATAGTTTGTTTCTTAAGAGTGAAATCCGACTCTAACTCCCAAACCAGGAATCCAATTCGAGTCCCGTCTTCTCCCACAAGTCTCTCGTGCCTAGGCGGTCGTGTGTGCCAAGTTTCGTGCTACTTTGGCGCCGTTTGGTGATTTTGGGGCATTAATACATCAAATTCTAAATTTCTTAAAAAACTAGTTTGTTTCTTAAGAGTGAAATCCAGCTCTAACTCCCAAACCGGGAACCTGATTTGAGTCCCGTCTTCTCCCACAAGTCTCTCGTGCCTAGACGGTTGTGTGTGCCAAGTTTCATGCTACGCCGATGCCGTTTGGTGATTTTGGGGCGTTAACACCTCGAATTCTAAGTTTTTTAAAATATTAATTTGCCTAGAGTGAAATCCGACCCTAACTCCTAAACTGGGAACCCGATTCGAGTTCCGTCTTCTCCCACAAGTCTCTCGTGCCTAGGCAGTCCTATGTGCCAAGTTTCGTGCTACTCCGACGCCGTTTGGTGATTTTGGGGCATTAATACCTCAAATTCTAAGTTTCCTAAGAAACTAGTTTGTTTCTTAAGAGTGAAATCTAGCTCTAACTCTCAAACCGGGAACCTGATTTGAATCCCGTCTTCTCTCACAAGTCTCTCGTGCCTAGGCGGTCGTGTGTGCCAAGTTTCATGCTACTCGGACGTCGTTTGGTGATTTTGGGGCATTAACACCTCGAATTTTAAGTTTCTTAAGAAATTAGTTTGCCTAGAGTGAAATCCGGCCCTAACTCCCAAACCGGGAACCTGATTCAAGTCTTGTCTTCTCCCACAAGTCTCTTATGCCTAGGCATTCATGTGTGCCAAGTTTCATGCTAACAATGGAAAATCCTTTGTCTTTCTTTCTAGTTATGTATTAATCATATTCGAATTTTATTATATATATGTTGTGTGAAAATTTAACTATCAAGTAATTTAATTTATAGCGACCCCGGTCTTTTCCCATTTGTTTATTGTATCCGGAATTAGGTTCCGTAGCTCCTGCCATTGTATTATGATTGTTACCGTCCTTTATTTTCCTATTTCTGAGTTGGGGGATGCAATGGGCAGGTTTGTAGCAGGTTGGTTGGGCTTGGGAGCAAAGGGTTGCTGCCCAGAATTTTGACCCTTCGCTCGAGCGAGAAGTTATTCGCTCGAGCGAACTCTTTGTTTTGGTCCGTCACTCGAGCCAGGGTTTCTTCGAACGAGCGAGGATTGCATTTTGTAGTAAGACCTCAGAGCAGAGGTTTTTGGCTCGAGCGAGTTTTTCTTCGCTCGAGCGAGTTAGTTCGTTCTTCACTCGAGCGGGAGTTCCTTCGCTCGATCGTGAGTCTGGTTTCGGACCTGAGGGTTTGAGTTCTTCGCTCGAGCGAGACTTCTTTAGCTCGAGCGAGCTTTTGGGTTGTTGGCTCGAGCAAGGCCTCCTTGGCTCGAGCGTAGATTTTCTGTGTCTGGTCGCTCGAGCGACCAAGTATTCGCTCGAGCGAGCCTGTCAGGTTTAAATAGGCAGCAGCGTGTTTCAGATCAGTTTTTCATCCACTTTCAGATTCCAAAACCCTAAGTACGAGTTCTCTCTCCCTCTACACACCTTCTCTCTTAGGATTGATCTACTTAGAGTGAGTTTCTACCTTAGATCCTTTATTAAAAAGATAGAGTGGGTCGAGGGCTTCCATTTAATCTGAACATTTAGTGATTTGGAGCACATTGAAATTTGG